GGCAGCCCTGCAGCGACAGCGCACGGGAAAACTTCAACGGGAGAGGCTCAAGGTACCACCAGCAGCACCGACCCCGGCTGCGCTGGGAGAGGGAGCAGCCCGCAGGTGGCAGCCAAAACAAAACTCTGCTTTTTCTGACATCTCCAGATAGAAGCAGAAATGAAATGATGTTGCTGAGTATCCACGTTATTGGGCCTCCATCTGCTACAACTTAATCCAACAAAATCATGACTTCAACGGGAGAGGCTCAAGGTACCACCAGCAGCACCGACCCCGGCTGCGCTGGGAGAGGGAGCAGCCCGCAGGTGGCAGCCAAAACAAAACTCTGCTTTTTCTGACATCTCCAGATAGAAGCAGAAATGAAATGATGTTGCTGAGTATCCACGTTATTGGGCCTCCATCTGCTACAACTTAATCCAACAAAATCATGTTGCATCCTGCTGGTGCCTCATGTTAAAGCTGACTTCTTATGAATCTGAAGAGCTCAGATGAAATAAATTCTGTTTTAGCTTAACATCTGCAACAGTTTCCCATCTCAAACGGCCCATTTTCTATTACCAATTCTATCTGATTCCTAAGGATGTGATCTTTTTGCCTGTTATATCATCCAATATTATCATTAGCATCACACAAGAAATGCTGCAGCTTAGCAGTTGTGCTGGCTTAGCCATTCCCATGTTTAAAGGATAAGTAAATTGCTTCTCATGCCGCAAGCCCAACCCTAAAGCAGATCAAGCAGAATCTCGTGCAAATAGGATGAAAGTAGAGTGTACCTTGATGAGGAAGCTGCATGAAAACTGCAGATTTAGAGCAAGGCAGAGAAGCTTCACAGACACAGAATGAAAGAAGAAACCGTAAGTGAATAATGCCCATGACAGGGGAGGGGAGAAGAAATGGAGACAGACAAAACATTCATAAACAATGATTTTGCGGAATTCTGAATCCAGAAGCAAGAAATGGAACTTTTCACACATCTGCAACTTAATATATTTGTTACCATAGTAAGCAAACTTACTCTGATGAAACTGTTTCTTTTCCTGCATGTGATAAAGTAACTGGGCGCTGCCAGAACACTCGGTTTTCCTGTTCAGAGGTTCTCAGACGAGGGCAAGCGGACAACCCCGCCGCAGCCCCCGCTAGCGCCACGGCCACCCTGCTCTTCCAAGAAATCTGCGTTCTCTTTTACCTCAGGGGCTAGAATTCTTTCCCCAATATTTTTCTTGGTAGATTGCAGGTCTTTCGCTACTTAGGCTCTCACACTTGTCAATGCAGTGAGGAAAGAACAGGTCAATGATCGCAGTAATGACAATGCTACTGTGCCACTAGGTACAAAGTGGCCAGAGAAGACTGATTTATTTTTTAATACAATTAAACAGCTTAAAAAGCAAGTCTTGCTCTAGGCAAAATTGTACTGGCTAATATGACAGATTAAACTAGTGAAAACTGTGCGTTGACTAAAGCCAAGCAGTGCAGAGCCGCTGGGAGGGAAGCGCAAAACGCAAAGCTCCTGCCGGGCCCCGCTCCGAGGAGGCTGCAGGGCCCCCGGAGCCTCCCCTGCCTGCCCAGGCTCTAAGGGGAGGCCGGGACACCCACGGGATTCAGCACGACACTAACAGACAGTAAGAGATGAAGAGGAATCAGCATTAGAGTAAGAGACACATCAGTGTCTCCCCTCTGCATGTTGAATATTACACGGATATATAGTGAATGTATATTCATTATATTCAATAACAAAACATGCATAGCATCAGTGAGCTATCACTAATGATCATTAAAAAACCACACTGATTAGACCTAAGTGCAAGAGGTTACTAATTTACCAACCTTCCATTAAGGCTAGAACTAAAACAGATAAAAATACCCTGACCATCTTTAGCATTCAGAACTTCTGTAAGCCAAAACACCACCCAAGAAGTATCACACAGCATAATTCACCTGACAGAGGAGCAAAGAACCTCCTTGAAGCATGGGGCAGCATTCCAAAACCACTTCATGCAGATTGCTTTGATATGCATTCTCTTTTCTTCCTACATTTCACTTCCCCTAGCTTATACTACATATTCCCTATATACTAGAGGGAATACTTCTTGATTGCTCTCCTTTCTCACACCTGAAAACCTATGCTGCTAAATTTAACCTGTGCAGCAACCTGCAACTAATTCCCATCTCCCTCAGCCAGCTGAGCTATTCCATGTTTCTATTCCCAATCTCTTGCTGTTTTGATGACTGTTTTTTCCAGAATGCCTTCATTTTGTCACCAGCATGTTTTTGGTAATTCAGCAGTCTGAACTGACCCAGTAATCCATATATACATACAGTTTTTTTTTATTTCGGTGAGGACTATGACCTCCTTAGAGTGCTGCCTGTGTAAGTGTATTGGCCTTAACCCCTACAGTCAACTGAAACTGAGTCAGCCCCCACTCCCCTCTGCTCAGCAGAGCTCTGGAATGTTTCTCCTAATGGGTGTTAGCTTGTAGTACCCAAACAGATATTATTCTCCTTGCAAAATACCATGATTATACATTTATACTTATTAATCTTCTACGATCCACTGCTGCACATGCTCCATACTAAGATGCAGCTGTTGTTCATTCGGATGCACTTAGTGTTATCTCCGTCATACACAACTTGGAGGACAGCTTCTGTGATGGACAAAATCCAGGATCTGAACTACCAGTGTAACAGCTTCATCAGCATCTTAATATTCATTTGACTCCCGAATGCAATGATGCTTGATGCATAAATACACCCAAAGAGTTGATGAGACAACTTGGCTACATAAACATTAAATTCAGGATATTTCCCTTATCTATGGAATATCAGAACAGCTACCGACCTGGGGAGTGCTGGGAGGTTGCGAGCGAGGTCATGGAATTGGAGAGGTTGAGGTTAGCAGTAATGCTCAGCTGGCTCTGCACTGCCGGCGGGTACGGAGAGGTGGGAGTCAGGAGCGATTCCTCACTGCTCTCCTCATCAATCCCAGGCAGGTACGTGTCAATCAAGGCATCCAAAAACTTCACTATGAGCTCAGCATAGTCTGGGATTTGTGTTTGCTGTGGATAAGGGGAGAAAAAATGATTGGTTCTTTTCTTTCTAGTATTTTTGTCACTATGAGCTTTGCCCCAGAACTCATTCCAATATTAAACCTATTCTAACTGAAAACTTTGAAAAGCATTTGATATGAATATCAGCATTTGCATTTGATGTGAATATCTGTACAAATCTGCTTTGGGGTCTCCTCCAGGTTAGGAGGAAGATATAAAAGGGACATATTAAAGATCACTTGCAGCTGCAGTTTGGTCACACTGGGAACTACTGAAGTCAGGAAGGAGCAGATTTATTCACAAAGTGAACAGCCCCAGCTCACCCAGACCTCATAAGCTACTGTGGCCCCAAAGCCTAATGACCACTAGCTTGTTCTTATCAATACCATATTTTAACATTTATTTGCATCTTTACTGGGACATCATGGACATACTTTACATAGAAAACAAAACACTGACAAAATTATATAGATAATTTTTTCTTACCTTGGAAAATGGGCCAGCAAATCTCCATAACCCATTAAATCCAAAACCTACAACAACATATTGACTGTTACCACAAAAACACTAGGCCATTCAAGTATGCAATTCTAATTCTTGGTGATATTTTAGATGATAAATTTAGCATATGAATACACATCTCACTTCAAAAATTATGTCAATGTCTACAAGTCTTCCTCAGTTATAATCTTTCTTATGGATATTCCTGGGACGTCTTTGGTTAACAGTCACTAAAAAAAGTAGGTTTTAAGTGTTTATGTCTCATGTGAAACTGCAGATGAGCACTCAAAATCGAATGTTACTCCACAGAATTTACCAGTAACACCAGATAATTAAATCTATCCTTAATTTACAAGTCTAATTTAAAACTTCATTTACCTCCACCATTCATGTTTTGTACCTCCCTTAACTTGGTCAGTGGAAAAAGAACACAAGTTTCAATTTTTCTACTATTTACTCATACAGATGATTTTACACTTCAATTTTTGATGTGAAGCTGCAACAAGCAGCTTAACATTCCCGTTAGTAGCCATTTAACATATGAATGCTTTTTAATTACTAGCATTTATAAAGTTGAAGAGATTGCACATAACAAAACTGATTATTTTGCTGATCCTGAGACTTTTTCATTAGTAAATCTAAATTTGAACACAGCTGCCTAACAAAAAAGGAAGATATTTACTTTGTAGATAAGAAGTTTGGTATTGGGGTGGAGATTCTTCATGGTAGACAACACTCTGAACAATCCCATGAACTGGATTCAACAAGTTTGGATCCTGGCACAGAGACAGAAGGGTATTGATCTTGGAATCCAATAAATTATGCCTAAAAAAAAAAAAAGAGCAGTGGGTTATTTTTGTTCATTAAATTAAGCAAAATTAAACAAAACTGTCATTCACAACCGACTTTAACAAACAGTTATTAAGGTGGGATTTTCAAAAGGTCCCTGTAATGTTAGAAGCAGCATATAATTCCTGTAGATGTTCAGTGAGGCCTCAGAAGACAGAGAAGAACTGTAAGAACATAACCCATTCTTCTCTTTACCTAGCTGCAAATATTCTAGTTACTTTCAACTGAAGAATTTTCAATAGAAACTTGCACACTAGAGCTGGAAATTCAAAACAGCTTCATAAATTTGGGGATGTACTTGAACTCCTTTGAAAAAGTTCCAGCTTTAAACATATTACTGGAATATGGAAACGCCATAATATTTGATGGTTCGCCTAAACATACATGGAAAGGAAGAATGACACTAGATAACTGCACGGCACGACCGAGCTGCAGAGACAGCCTGGGCAGGACAGGACAGTGTTAACAAATGCAGCTCAGGGATCCTCACAGGCATCATGGGCTTTGAAGGACTTCCAGCATGGGAAAAACAGCAGCTACTGACCTACCAATGGGTAATTATTTAGTACTTTTGTTTTCTGAAGAAGCATCATAAAAAGAGAGTTTTAGATACTTACACAACAGGAAAGACCTTTGGGAAGACAACACTGGCTTCTGCTAAATACTCGTACAGAATGCGCTGGTCAAACTCATCCGTAGTGTACTTCACCAGCGTCGCCTGCCACAACGCAAAGCGGAGGTCAGCACGCTTCTCGCTCCAAGAACGTACACTTTGCTTGTCTTTATTATTATTATTATTATTATTTGCTGCTTTTGTTGTAATTTAAAGTTTTAAGAGCTCTGGATTGCAGAAAAGCAGCATTTTGAAATATTACTTTGACCCTATGTCCAAACATGACAAAGTATTTTATGTTTGCATGAGGAACAAACAGTTGGCAGTAGTTTTTGTTTTAGCAAATATTTTGGTGCAACTGAATCTTGTTGAATTATTTCAGGAATGGAAACTACTGGTGTAACTATCACTAAGCACTATCACGCTGGAAGCTTAATTGCCAAACTTGAAACTGAGTTATGCTGGAATTTCAACAATTTTCATTTCTTAACTTTTAAAATATAATATATAACATCCTCTTATTATATAAAATTAGTTTCTGAAAACTCTCCCCCAAGAAAAGGGGACAACAGTAGACATCTCATAGAAAAATACCAAATAATGAAAATTTAGTATTGGCTCTTACAGAATTAAAACACATTCCTAAAAGTGAATCCTAGCAAGTTTGAAGAATGGCAGCAAAAGAACACAATTACACATTCCACACTGATTCTGCTCCATGCAAATTTACTGCAATGAACATACATGCTCCTTTTGAAGATAAATGGCCATCAAAAACAAAGCATAATAACACACAGAAAGTAGGCTTACAAGGACTGTAAGCAGGAGTGCTTGAATTTTGGGATCAGTCAGAACTTCTTCGTCTAGGAGGACATTTGACTCAGAAACAGAGACTTTTCGTAGATGTGGGTGTTGCTGTGGTGATATTCTCTGGGTTTCTGCCAGATAGAAAAGAGCAACTCATCCAAAGCACAATAAACCAAAAGAGAATTAGTTCTTTCACAATAACTTCATTCACACACAAACTTCAGAGATCACCAGCCTTTCTGTAAAATGTAAAAGCAACAATGATGCTGTAATACTAGTGGTGCTAGACTGTCACATGGGATGTATTATCAGATGGTAGAGAGTAACCCCAATTTCCTCTTCAGTGAAATACAGGCCCAGGGGTGTTAAGTAACACAGTCAGGGTCAGGCAGCAGACCAACATCAGATACACCAGAAGAACCCTGGTCTTGCATTGCAATTGGGGTGGGGGCACAGGAAGCAGATGGGGCAGATGATGAAGAGAGGCATTCTAGGCGTTAAGTCTCATGGCATTGTGTGCAAAAATCTGCACTTAGGGCTTAGTCACATATAGAAAGCCAAATTTTATTTATTTCATTTCACTCCTCTATGCTGTAATTTATAGTTGCTCCTTATTCTGGATCTGCCAACTGAGCACACTCTAATTCAAATCTCTCCAGATGCCATTAAGAAAAATACTTATCCCTTACCTTGTAGTAACCCAAGCAAATAAACGTTGATTTTAGAAATAATCCTTTGTATGTATATACAAGGCATTTACAATTAGCATTATTCTTAGAATGTTAGTCCTGTTTCTCACCCATTTCATAATCATTTTCGGCTACTCTCCTCATTTTGGGGGGCGTTGTGATTCCAGATTCCATGTCTTGCCTTTTAGGAGCCTTTGTGTCCGATATCAAATGGTCAAAACTTTTCCTTGTACCTAAAAACAATTTATCAGGAAATTAAAAACATTAAAGCTAAATCCGTACTGTAACCGTTTCTGATTTGCAGGGTGTGTATTTTTCTGGCCCAGTTATATCTTAACTACAACATACTGGTAGGAATCTGGGGACAGTATCACCATTCTCAGTGGTGGCAGAGAAAATACAGTCACACATGCCGCTCTCCATCGCAGTTTCCAAAATGCTTCACAATACATATGGGTATAGCATGCAATTTATTCAGTTATGTAAGCTTGTGGGCATGCTATGGTTTCCTGGTCAACATGTTACATTGAATAAACATGCCAGAATGGGATTACTGAGAAGGAAGAAGTAACAGGATTGTAATGAGAAATTCCTCTATTCATCCATCTATACCATTAATATGCAAGTGTTACCATAAGTTACAACAATTTATCTTGTTTCTCTAATACTAACACTTTGTTCATAACCCTGATGCACTGAATAACCACAAATAAAAAATAGTTTGTTCCCAGAACACCTATAATGTTTTGGAAATACTTCTTCTAACATAAGCTATGGTATTCAGCTTATTGGTGTGTCTGCAAGAGGGCTGGTGGCAAAGAATTGGCACTGTGATGCTTTAACATCTGGAACATCCTTTTTGCCACTTCAACAGGCATGTTTTGAGCATCACCCACACTCCATTCTCTTTCTCTGCTCAAAAGAACTGGTTCAAAACTCTTAATTGCACAGTGTTCTGCAATGTGTATTTTACAGAAACTGCAAATATTCCTTTGAATCAGGAACAGGCACTTAAATTTGGTATAAAATTCAGTATAGAAAAATCCTTTTGTCCAATAACATTTCCTACGATTATCTGTAGAAAAGAATAGCAAATTAGGTGTCTTAATAACCTAAAAGTTTTTTAGTGTTGGCTTGTGAAGGCTGCCCCATATCCAAACTCATGGACTTTCGAGTTCGAGGGCTGATCTGTCCCACTGTTGGGTAACTTGCAGCTAGGTGTCTTTCTGACCCCTTTGGTGATGACCACGGTTGATTTTCCTTTAGTGTCCTGAAAGTGCAGAGAAATTAAATTAGAAAACTCTTAAAACTGTGCACATTTAGGCATAAAATTTTCATATGTCAAAGTATCCTTTATTAAAACAATCTCTCCTAATGGACTAATCTCTCAGAAATACACATTAAGAGTGAGCAATTACTTTGCCTGCGAAGATGTTTAAGCCAATTAAAACTAACAATCTGATCTGAATGAAATGCTGCGGAGAAAAATCGAACAATCAGATAAAACAGAGGCAAATCAACCTAAAAGGCAAGTGAAGGACATTTAATAGTCAGCTCTTCCAAACTGGATGCAAAAAACCCAGACTACTGGCAAACCAGGCTCTTTGTGGCCCTCGCAGGTGGCCTCCCTGGGCTCACCTCTGTGCCTGCGCAGGGACAGGCTATCAGATGGGACACTAAGTGACTACTCAGTTATAGGCCTTGAGCCTCTTAGGGACAAACAGAATTAAGCCTGTGGAAAGGGACCAGCAAAAAGCTTAAGAACCATCAGACCAGTTAAGCTCTGCAATAGCTTTATGGATCTCAAAATCGAGTCGCTAGGAACTTGAAGCCAAATTTCCCTGCAAATCTTGAGCAGAATGTAAGTATCATTGGTTTGGAACCACTAACTTGCAGCTGAAGTTAACTTAGCTTTGTGGGTTCTAGCTTTTCATATATCAGAGGTTATCTAAAGATAACTTACTAAAGGAAATAGACATTAACATTTGGGTCATTTATCTAAAAGAGAAATAACTGACCGATAGCTAGTGTCACTGTGATGTATGGGATATGTATCCATAGGAACGTTTTCCATCGAAACATCTGTCAACAAGAGAGACTTCCTATGCTTTAAGCTGCAGCGACTTCGAACTTCCTCAGATACTGTCAGCAAAGCTAAAAATGCAACGAAAGCTAACGTAAGTTTTCCAGGACAGGAACACAGTGAAGAACGCACAGAATCCTCCATCTATTTAAATTTATTTAGTACAAAGCCCTACAGAAATGTACAGATTGCGAGTGATTTAAAAACATTTTATTTCCCAATTCAATTAGTTTTAAAAGTTCTCCCCCCCCACAGGATCAAAATTTCCTATTTCTATACAACTAGAAGTTGGAATGCTCTAAGGCAGGAACTTAAGCATTTGGGTAGCCAAAACCCCACCAGCCTCCTTGAAGTATTTGCAAAACTAAGGCCACAAGAACTCCCAAATACCCCATTCCCTTCCAGTTAGCCCAACTCTGAAAGTACGTTGCTTTTTTTGTTTCATTGTTTTCAATTTTACCTGCTAGGTAAGCCACAGTTTGGGTGTTCACCTCAAACTTGTCACAATTCCTATGCTTGTTAACCAGGGCTAGTAGTGTATGCAAAATCCTTACAGTTCTTGCTACAGTAGTAGGGGAAGGATGCCTGTACCCTAAGAAAGGAGGTTGAGAAGCCAAAATACTGTGTTTAATTTTTGAATGTATATTTATAAAGCATTAATATTTGTAAAATACTTAATATATTTTTCATCATGTTCTCAGGAAATTTCATATAGTGAATGCAAGCAATACTAACAGAATCTGCACATTCAAGAAAATATTTTTTATCTCCCTCCTCAAAAATGACATCATTTTGAATATCTGTGCTTACATCTATTTCTCATAAATCAATCTCCTAAAATAAACAGAAACCCTGAATATATTCAAGCAAATGGAGGAATAAAGCATTTGCAAAGAAAGAAGTAAAGAATAACAGCAAATGAAGTCACACATTTCTGGACAGTTCAGCCACATCAAAAAGCTTTGTAGGGATTGTGGCAAAGTCCTTAAATCAAAGGATATATAATCTCGCATCTATTCTGTGTTCCAAGCAGCTGGAATAAGTTACTTAAAAACCAAAATTCTTTCCTATATCCCCGGGCTTGCTTTTGTTTCTGAATTAAGAGTGTGACATGTAAAACGAACAGAAACCTGCACTCTTACCTTTCAGGAGATGTCCCACTAGCGCAAAATTAAAGTTAGAGTTGAAATTTAGCCCAACAAAATGATCCATCTGTTTACAGTGCCATTCCAGTGGTCTCCTGATCTCCATAAACACCTCTTCTGGGCTCTGACCCAGGGAAAATAAAACACAGGATTATCTCATTGAAAGCTAGAACACCTCGAATTTTTAAAAAGCTTCAAAGATAGAATAATTTTAAGAATTTACATGAAAAAGCAAACACACTCTTAACTAGAACATATCTATCTCCATTCCAGCTCAGAACAAATATCGCAAGCTTTATCTCTACATTGCAGTTTTACTTTTGATGCTTATGGGACACTATTTGCAATACAGTTTTCAGTTGCAGTGTGTAACTAGTGACTGTGACAATAAATATATTTTTTTTCCTTTTTAACATGTCCAGTTGCTCCTATAGAGGTTTTGTTACAGTTGATTCCTACCAGAGGGCTTGCTCACCTTATCATTGAACACCCGAAGGCTATCCAAGGTATGCAGATTCTGCTCCAGCAGCGCGGTACCTGCCGAATACAGGTTTACCTCATCGAGCTGGAGTACTGCCATAGCTACCCAAAAGAGGGCCTTGTGCATAGGAGAGTCCTAGAAGGATGAAGAAACAAACAAAAAAGACATTATTTCATTTTCAAGTCAGTTCTATAACTGAAAAAGAAATAGGGTGAATACATGCTCTTGCCTATGTACTATTGCCTATACACTACTATCCTTCTTGTAACAAGTTTTCTCCTCAAACATGTACAGTCTGAGAACAAAACAGATGTTCATGAACTTGTGGTCCTCAAGCATCTCCCAGGTGAAAGTTCAAAATAAATTAATATCAACCTTCTCTTTTTTTTTTTCCTTTCTCTTCTACCCTTTGCTTGGCTCACCAGCACGTCCAGGGCATATTGCCCTGCACCAGACCGAACATTAAATGTATCTTTACGGATGTGAGTGAGAACACAGGAAAAAAGACTGCAATTCTGCATATATAAGTGTCTGGCAATTCCATCTCTGGAACAGGTATACAGGAAGAGTTGGCATTCAACAAACCTAAGCCCACTTATACAGCAGATTTTAAGGAAACAAGTCTTCTGTGCTAGCAATAGACACATGAGGCTCTTCACTGTAATCCCCTCTGCAAAACCCTGTATGTGAAAATAATGTGCGGTGCAAACAGCGGCAGCCCGAGGCAGCTCGTGAAGGACAATTAAGTCGTGAGCTGCATTTGCAGGGTAAGTTCATGGCACACTAATGGGAGGAAAGAGAGCACCAGAAGTTCAAGCAGCATATACAACTGCTGCTGCTGAGACTCACTGCTAATTTTAAGTGACACAGAGCTATCCAGATGGTCCAGACAACTCAGCCTGGGTAAAGTTACCATGGAAAGAGCAAAATTGAGTGAAATCAAGAAGATTAACAAACTGTGCCTAAATTCTTTGGCTCTGTGAAGGAAAGTCAAATAGGCATATTAAACGAGCCTTTCAAATGCTCTTGCCAGGAACACCAAAGTTAATTTATTTTCTGAGGACATTTTCAAATACAGTGTCTAGCAACGTGAAGCTGCAGATACAGCCACGCTCGCCAGAAATCTCTTTCAGGATCTTGGCGCTTTTTCTGACCAAGCTTTGTCCCTTCTGCTGTGTGTCAACCCAGTCCCACCAGGAAACTCCCTGTGTTTCACAGAGGTGGGCTTGTTGGTATACTACTATGTTGCAAGTTAAGAGCTCAAAAGTAATATACAGATGACTAAATTAGTTTCAGATCAGACAAGTCTAACATTTATTACAAGCTGGGATCCAAAGAGCGTATATTAGCAGCCATTCAAGGGAAAATCAAGACCAAAGAGCTTTAGAAAGAATTAAGACAGACTGCAGCATGGTCTCTGTCTCCCTGGCTCCTGCTCAGTTTGAGGCAGCAGCACAGTTTGTTCCAAACCCAAACTTCTATGACATATTTCCCATATGTAGGATTTCTGAGCAAGAATTGCAGCAGCGAAGTGTGAACTTTGGATACTGCATCATTTATGTTTTGAGGTGACACCCATAATCGCAATTTTCATTTACAAGAACCGTTCCCCATTTATTCTTAAAATGTACAAAATAACAAACATCCCCAGTTTCTTACCTTATTAAGAAGAGGCTGCAGTTTGGTGAGTGCTATGACTGTAGCTTCTATTAGAACTTGGCTATTGTAATTATCAGGACCTTTTAAACAGCTCTCAAGTCCCTTTTCATAGAAAAGGCAGCAATAAGAAACAGAAACCATAATTAGATTTTGCCTTGTAAAAAGATAAAAATTCTACACAGCAAACAGTTGTCAACTAGTTAACAAAGCTCAAACTCATTTTAAATGCATTCTAAAAGAGCTTAACAAATTAAGACGGAGACAGAAGTGATACGTATATTGCTGAAACTGCACAATGCATATTAAAAAAGTCAGGAGGCAGGACAGGATGTAGCAAATTCAGAACAGCACTCCTACATTTCAGGAGTTAAATTTTATGTCTATAAAACTCTAATAAAGTACTTAAAGGAAACATCTTTAGCACACTGTTTGTCTGCTACGGAAGACAGACTCCTTTAGAAAAGATTACCCAGCCAGGCAGGCAGTTTCAAACTTCTTTAAAAAAAGAAGTTGTATATAATGCACGTCAGCTGTGTGTCTTAACGCAAAGTTTTTTATTTATTTAAATACTTACTTTTCTGGATCAATCTCAGTGTCTAAAATTTTAAGCTCAATATTGACAAATACTACCTTTATTCTAGAAGTAGCAGCACTCATGAAACTTACTGCCACTACATTGTTTGAAAGTAAAAAGCTAGAGCTATAAAAATGAATTTTCCTTTTAGGTAGCTTTGTATAAGAATACACTGGAAGAATGTATTTATCCTCAAAATAGAATATTTTGAGTTCTATGTTTCATGGCAAGATAAAAATCTTTAATTATTAGTCACAAAGGAAAACAGAAACAGACGCACACACCTTGCTAAGAATTCGGATTATTTGTTTTATTTGTCCATGAGAGACCCGTTTACTTATACAACCAAAGACAACAAGTGCTCTTGGCTGGAGAGATGGATTATATTGGAATGCAAACCTGTGAAGAAACAAAATACACTGCATTAGACAGATCTTTACACAAACAGCCTGTATAATTAAAAAGTGAGAATTGTAAGCATGCTGCACTGGCAATTAGGGGTTATGTTTTGTGATCTGCAACATACTTTTGAGCTAGCTCAGTCCACTGGTCCAGCCACTTGCATGTTGGAATATCTCTCATACAAGCCTAAAAAGAATTACATTGTTTAAATAAATGCAACATTATGACAAAGTATTTTTAAAATTCAGAACGTGCAGTGTTTTAACTCAGTAGTGAGCTATTTAAACATTTATTACCGTGTCATGGGAGGCACATCTCACTACGCTGCTTCCCTGCATGGAAGTGCAAGGAAAGCCATGTTCCCCTGCAGATAATTTATGTTGTTTTGAACCTCCTACCTCCATGATCTCCAGCAAAGCTTCAGTGACAGTTTCCAGGGAAGTCAGGGCGAAAGTCTCCCTTTCGTAGGACCCGGGGGAGAACGACCTGTCCCGGTAGCTGGAGCGGAAGGCGATGACTGCTGCCGACTTCACTTTGCTGATTCCAAACAGCAAATAAAACTTGGGCAGAGAGAACTCAGTCAAGCTCAGTCTTAGCACTTGCTTGGTCTCCTCTGTTGAATAAAATTTTTACATATTTGATTTAACACACCCAAATTCAAATCGTATTTCAACACTTTTAATACAACCCTCCTCCCATGAAAGCCTAGGTCAATGACGATCCTGGAGAGCAGCCTGCACGTTCCAGCACTGCTTCCTTGCTACTTGTCCCAGCACGAGCAGTGACAAGGGCAGGGCTCTGGTTTTTCTGACTGTGTGTGTGCATGTGTGTGTATTTCTCTCTAGCCACAAGCGGAGGCTCTCTCCCTCGCTCCATATATTTACCAAATGAGCCTTCACATATTTGAAAACAAACAAGATTACATAAACATGTAAATATTTCTGCACAAGGTTTTAAACTATATTTCTGTGATAACAAACAACAGGTACTTAATTGCTAATTCAGGCATTTATATTTTAATTTTTTCGGACTGCTAAGATGCAGCAGTATGCAAAATACCTCTGCTAATAGTAGTTTCACAACTGCCTTATGTAATTGATATTTTTGTTACCACATTACGCAACCATGCAAAAGAGGTACGGCAGCCCGATTTAGCGCAGGAGTATTTTCTCCCTTATCTGCATTACAGATACTAACTGATATTTACTTCCTTCCCTTTTTCAGAAACCAGTTATATAAACAATCTTTCATTATACACCTGCTTTCAACCAGACAGCTGTATTTTATCTCCATTCTGTTATCTAGTTTAGCTTATTAGCTGGTTTATATGCAAGTTATACAGTAACAACTATTTTCAAACTTGAAGAGATTTCCTGGCATCACAGAAAACTAACCTTCACCACTCACAGACTGCTTCTACTTATCTGCTCAGGCTTACCAAACATTTCTCTGTCTTAGCTACTCATCTCAGCAGCTATTTTACTGTTTTAAATGCCAAAAAGCAAAGTTATTTCAGAACTGTTGCAGCAAAAGGTATTTCAACTTGTTTGTATTATTCTAACTTTTGATAATCACAAGTAATTTCCATTAGCTTCATTGCAACTAAAATCAAATCACTCCAAAAGCAACTTGACCTTGTCTATCCTTGCAGGTACTACAATTCCTACACTCATCATCAACCTGACAAGATATCTTAATCCCATTAGTGCCATGATATGCAACGTCTTCATGAAAGTGAAAAGACACCTCAAATATTTCTTAAAACAAACTAGGGGAGCAATCAACTTAATGTAATATCTAACAAAAACTTACCACTGAAGTGAAGCTGTGAACAAGTGCACAGAGAATGAATGATGTTGATGACCAGACCATGAGTGGAAGCTCTGAGAGAAAGAGGACCAGTGGCCACCAGTAAAGTGACGACATGGAAGAGGTAGGGCAGATGTGCCGCCACATCCAGTGAGTTGTTGAAGGAGAGCATCAGCATGTAACGGGCTAGAATTGCAATATCATCCCACATCAGGTGCTGTTCTAGTGTAGGAGTTGGAGACAGACAGGTCTTGTCAATTATTTTACACATCCTCCCAATTACCTGAAAGACAGCAACCATTTGTTTTAATTAAACGAAGAGCAGAGCTAAAAAAAAAAAAAATCAGTCAAAACCATTATAATTTAGCACTGGAATTATTTTGCTGCTAGGAATCCATTTTATAAAGTTTGTTGCCTGACCTTGGTTATCAGAAAACACAGTGTCATATTATTTTCTCAGGTGAAATTATTATATAAGGGGAAATAAGGCAAAGAAGCACTCACTTTGCTTGAAACCAATTTCACATTTCCAGATGCAAGAGCTACAGCTGTGTCTGCCATAACCTCAGCTTTTATGGATCCCAACCCTCCTGTGGCGCTAGTTTTGATGAAACTGTCCAGCACCACATCAAGCAGATCTGTTATCTGTCAGAGAAAACAAGACGTCAGTACCTCTAAATTAACTTCATTTTTTCTGCACTAAACAGCTTTTTGAATAAGCAATCATTCATTTTAGTTGAATGATATACAACTGCTTCTTTCAACTGAACACCCGTGGACTGAGGAAATATTTATAAGTAATAAACCAAACCAAAAATCTTTAATTTTCAACAGGGTCCAGGAACACACTCCTAAAGTTCAAAGTTCAGTAGTTAATTAATTGATAAAACAAATCTTTATAGAAAAGAAACATATGCTCTTCTCTCCACACAGCTAATATACTTTGGCCCTATCAAGATGCATTTTATTTTCTCATCAACACTGTGATTAAAAACACTATAATTTGTTACTCATATATAAATTACAGTAAATTATGAAGACGCTGTACCTGTCCAAGACTCCCCCATATCTTGGCTTGAATGGAAGGATACATCTGCTTTTCATTTATGGTCATTGTTATGAGCTTATCAAGAATAGCAGTGACCCGCTGGCGCTTGGCGTCGTCATTGTGTTTACAGAATCGCACCAGATTTGATAACCAGGGAGTCATGTACTCCAGACAGAGATGTTTCAGTTCAATACCTGAAATAAAAGCTCACACTGTAACATGAAGCCAGAACTGGTGGTCTCTATCTACTTGTAAAGCATTATCTGCAAGCCCTTTCCATTTCAATTGCATAGTCTAACAGAATTACTATCCTAAACGAGTGGATGAAGTTGGTAGAAGACCTGAGCAAATGTTACTGGGCAAATGGACAAGCCTCAAAGGAACATACCCTGATAACAACATCCAGGAAACCTCTGTAGGAATCTGGCAAAATTTTGACACTTTAATTAAGAGCTATAGGGTCAGTATCAGAAAGGGCTTAAGTTTTTTTTAATCTTGAGAATGTATTCTAAACTGCTTTTAATGTAACGCAACAGAACAAGATTTACTAATAAAAGAGATAAAAATAATCTGAAAGAATTAATATCTAAACGATATATGATGAAAAAGCCTTGTAGCTCCTTTGACACTGTCATGGATGCCAGTCTGGATTTTGCTGTGCAGTATTTCCGTGGAATTATTAACAACTTGATACGGATCTAAAGTACATATTGTACAAAATTACCAACAGCCCTAGGAAACAAATAGTCCATATTGTGAACTCTCCGAATAAACCTACTCATTCCAAAGCACTGAGATGTCTAGGGAGGCTCCTTCCAACATTAATTTCAGAATATAAAAGGCAGATTTTTATTTTTTCCATCAGATACAAAAGGGCACATTCGAATGGACAAATGAAATGACAGTTTTGCTCCAATGGATTCCAGCCCATTTCATGACGCTGCTGGGCTTCAGGGCTTTATACAATTTGATTATTAAGAAATGGATACAAACACAGTCTTGAAAACTCATCTAAATTGCTCTAAGAAAACATTTGCAATTTGCACTTACTGTGACTCATTAACTTGAGATAGCTAAATTAGCTAAGAGAGCCAGCTACCAACTGACTAGATTGTTACTTACTAGATTTGCTAAATCCAGAAATGCATTCTTCCAAGAACTCCAGGGTAAGGTGTGGTTCATTAGCTGCAAGAGTTTTACTAATAGACACGATAAAGAGCGTGTTGTTGGCAGGAATACACAGACCTGAAGTTTCCAGTAACTGGCCCTCAATCTTTAAATTAAAGGTACAGGTTAAGGCACACAGAAGATTATAGGCAGCAGACCTGGAACAAAGCAGACAACATGACTCATAATATTTTCTCATATATCATATAGGCATTACGCTAAAATATCACAGTAGTGATGCTGACATTTTTAACATCAAATCAATATTGCTAGATAAGCAACTGTACTTAAATCCTGAACTTTTTTCCTGCACCCATTAAGGCTCACAGACAACAGCACTTGCCTGGAGAAGCAAATGAGGTTACTCCTGTGCTTAGTTTAAATGATCTCTGACAAGGTTAGAGAATATTGGACCTGTCAGAGAGACACTTGGTCCTGGGAAGGGCTAAGTACTTCCAAGTGCACCTGAGCTGCTGGGAAAGGGGCTGCCAAGGGCCCCAAGGCGCCCACTGAGCCACTACCCATTTTGCAACAGCCCCTTCTGACAAGATCCTGTCCTGTTCTGAGATTCAGTTCCCCAGATATCACGCAGGACATTCACTATCATGAAAATCAAGGCTGACCAATAAGACATTGCAAAGAAGTACTTCTCTTTATGAATAGGAAACTTCCTAAACGCTTTCAATTACTCAGATAATACGAATGTTTTTCTTCAGCTAAAGAAAAGGTGATCTTTCTTTAGAAAGATCTTGGAGTACATTTTACGTTTGCAGAGTTATGATGGAAGAAAAACTGTTTTGTTCCAGAGAGATTTGCTAGAATCAAGAATTTCTTGGGAAGAATTCCTATTTTTTGACCAAAAGTGGTACTAATTCAAAAGGTCTGTACCGCAAACTGGGGTCTGAGCTTCCTAAGTTGAGCAGTGCTATGTTCAGCAGCGTCCCAGGGACATCTTTAGGGCGAATTTTGGTGTGCTGCGGGATGGAGTCCGGTTGTGACAGCTCCCACCGTGTCCGTATGTGAATGATGGACCGAACGATGGCTTCGCACTCCTGATGCATGAACGTGAGCGGCGTGCCTTGGTTGGCGATGGTCAAGGTAAACTGGTTCTCATCAACAAGACATATCTCCTCAATTTCTGAGGCATAGTAGATATCGTTTAAAAACACTGTTTGTCCCAGGACTCTTGTTCGCTCTGCTGATGTCACCTGCACAGCTGTAGACCCAACCTTAAAAGCAGAACAGAAAAACGTTTCAAGCATCACTGGTCAGCAATACAAAGAGCAAAAAATAAGTCTCACACTTCTAATCTACAAAGTTAACCATCAGAAACCATAGCCAATGCTAGGCTTCCTGATGGGCACATGCTACTAAGTTGGAGTTTCTCCCCAGGACCTCAAAGAGGAGAATCAATAGACAGTAAAACTGTATTCAAATCCTTATCAAATGTGAGAATTCACTAGAAGCAGAATTAAAGCAGCCTTACTTTGATAGAAACTTTGGTGTCTTTATGAGCCAGTTTGAGAGCGTTGTGAAACACTTTCAAGTCCTCCTCCAAAGCCAAGGTAGCTGCCGGGAGTTTCTGCTGGTCGTGGTCAATGTGCTCTGCCAGTTTTCCTGGAGAGTCTATGAAAATAAGTCTTTTGCTTCCTTTCAAGCCCGTCAAGAGTCTTTCATGGTACTTGGTGTATTCTCTGACCCAAGAATTACAGTTATAAATAAAAACTGCTGAGACATTTTCATAAGCAAAGCCTGGAAACACTACAAACCATTTAGAAAGAAAGTCTGTTTTAAAACGATTACTGGGGCCAGCGTGTGTGAGGTCCACTACAATCTCATATGGCTTTGCATAGTATGGCTTCAGAGTTAGCAGGACATGGTATATCAATAAATCCCCATTGATCTGGCCAGTCTTGAACCTGTGGAAAAAAAGAATGAAGACAACGTTTGCCACATGACAAATACCTGCGTGGTATAGTAAAAATATTAGTATACTAAGCCAGATTTATCTTTAGCATAATCCTAAAAATGTCATAAATCCATAACAGTGCTAACAGACCAAAAGCACGAAAGCATCTGTGTTTATCCAGTCATGGCTTCTCTGTCCTACAGGGCTTCAAACTTGGTAAGAGGGCCAGGTTGGACACAGATTCCGTTCCCAATCCTTCTCGAGTGCCATGCAAGCTGCCGTATAGCCAACAGCCTCCACACACACAGGAGTTTTATTCAACTTCTCAAACAACAGAAAAATACACAAAATCTGTATGGACAGCAGAAGTGCATCAATCAAATCAAAACTGGATTACAGGAGTTAAGAATCTCTGTCAAAATAAAAGCAGAATACTATAATCCTTCAAAGTCCAACTCATCCATCTTTCTAGGGATTCAAGTTGCATCTATTTTTATATGCAGAAAAAGCCTCGTTCTAACTAAGCATCCACAGAAAATCATCTGAGAGGATCTCCTACTCGTGTGACGTGTTCTCGACTGCAGCACACACTGCATTTGAGTGCTTGCTTCCATGAACAGCCCTCTCAGGGGGACAGGGGATTTGCCTGTCACCTGGCTCTCCCAGAAAAACAGCCACATACTCTAAAAGGTTAAGAAGCTTTTGTTTTTATTTAATGATGCTCTGAATACTATGAGACTGGACATACCATACGCCTAAATGAAGCTTCTAGAGAGATCATAACGGAAAATTCAATTGGGAAGAATTAAAAATAAAACAAAACCTTCAAGAGTCCCTTGTGAACATCTACAGTACTCACAAATACCTGTAATTACACCTCAAGCGAACATCACCTCAAGTCTTTCAAGCAAGGCAGCAGCCTGTGGAGACACCTAAGCAATCCCTGAAGAACACGGGCGGTTTTCAGCGCAGCGGGGCCCTGTGCCCGGGAACGCTGGGGCAACCCCCGGGCAGGGCGGCGGCGGACGAGCTCCACACACTCTGCCTACGAGCCCTGCTCCTCCGGGGCTGCTTCCTGTTGTTCCGAAAGCTAATTTGGGCAAGTTGGTGTTTTTTCCCCTTGTACATGTCATGGCGCGGCTGTTACCGAAAGGAAGTGTGTCATCTCTGTGGTTTGAGCGCTTCGCTCAGGCTACACCACGCACAATTTCAGTTACAGATTTGTTCAAAAAATACCAGCATCGTCCAAGTTTATTTGCTTTCTGTTAATGGTCATGTCCTGACAGCAAATATATACACAGAGAAGCCTTACTGCTAGAGAAGTGAAAATATAAAACATCACTTATTTTGACTACAGCTTGACAAGGTAAGTGCACGTTTTTCTTTTCCTGATTTAATTTCAAAAGTTTCTTAGATTTTGGAGAAAATTATATGTAAAGGTGCTTTTACAAGAGCTCAATAATTCAAAAACACTAATTTAAAATGAAAGCATTAGGCTAAAATATTATCATATATTGACTTAAGGAAGTTGAATACCATCTGTATTTTAGTGGTGTTTCTTAAGCAGACTCCGAAGAGCGAGCGGTGCCAGTCGCTGCCGAGCTGTCCCGCTCCGTGCGCCCACAGGACACCCTGTCACCACCCGGGCACAGAGCGGGGAGCCCAGCAGAACAGCTCTGTACTGGGCAGTTCTCTGTGCCGGCGGCTCTAAGCGAGGCCCGTAGCATCGCCGGCGCGGCTCTCTCAAGAGAAGCCCCTCTGGTGCAGAGCACCGCGAGCCTCTGCATGCGGGAGCAGAGCTGCAGCTCTCGGGCAGGAACACTCAGTGTTGGAGTTCGACTGCGCCGTCCTCGCAAATAAAGCTCAGTGCAAAAACTTCCAGGCCATGCCACACAGAAAACTGTTGTTTTTGACATACACTACGGAGTTACAGTTTGCTACAGTCTGCACCAGATAAAGGTAGAATTCCTGGTTCGATCTTAAAGACGAGGGTTATCCCAGCACGGAGCCCGTATGCTTCCTTTGCCTCCTCTGCAGGAGGCAGCCCCACGTGGTTCTCTGCTCATGCGTTGGGCACATCTCTGCTTTCACTCTGCTAGAGGATTTGGGCAAGGTGCTCTGCCGGTCACATTTTGCAAGGATGCCCAAGTTCACGTGTTGGGCACATCTCTGCTTTCACTCTGCTAGAGGATTTGGGCAAGGTGCTCTGCCGGTCACATTTTGCAAGGATGCCCAAGTTCAGCTTTCCTATTTTTTAGTGAATATATTAAGTATTTTTGTGGATAGGCTAACTTTTGACTATGACAAAGTTATAAACAAACACTATCTAGCATATTTCAAAATTACCAAAACTTACTAGCACATAGATGCCTTAAACAGAGGGGAAAAAAAAACGCACTGCCGACAAAAAAACACATTATTAACTTTGGAAAAAAATGCAAGAGAAAATGAGTGTTAGTTTTGGTCATTTCTTATAGCATTTATATTTGAACAAGATAATAATATATAACACTTGAGAGAAACTTTTCATTCTATTAATACAGCCAGGAGAGATGTGATGGGGCAATCAGCTGTAAGCTCCAAAAGATTTTGCTAAGCTTTTATGAAGCACTCTGGCACCTGAGCCAAGAAATGTGACCAATTAAAGTTACTACTGTCACTTACAGAAATATTTTGTAAATTTTACATGGGTTTCTCCCTTCACCATGTAAAAGCAGAAGTGATGAGCTTAAAGATGCAATATGGTTAGCTTGAAAGAGAAGGAACTACAGTCTGCATCTACAGTTACGCATCACCAAGTGTTTAACAGGAAGCATTTTCTGCCTGTGCTTCAGTTCAAGTTCTCTTTAATCTTCATTTATTTTCTACATGCCTCCGACTGTCGGGGTTCAGAAGCGACCACGACCCAGACCACCTATTTGTTCTAGAATTCCAAGGACTCCACATCCGCTAAATGCACAAAGTTACATGTCCACCACCAAGCGTTGCCCACTGCTCCTCGAGAGGTTTGAGCAGACCTCTAAGAACTACATACTAAACTAATGCTAAAATTTCTATTTTGCAGACAACTAAACAGGAAGATGAAGACAGAGAGATGCAGTAAAGGGCATTTTGCTTTCTTTGCTGCAGCATTTGTTTCTTTGTGTTTGCACGTAAGTGCAAATCATACTGGACATCCCATGGTTACAAGTGACACCTGGAATTCTACCGGCCCGAACCCACGCGGAAGCCTGAACAGAAGCGAAGCCAGCACAAAGGTGCCTTTGAGCACTGCTCCCAGCAGCAAAACAAGGGCTACGTTTGGGAAGCAGCCTGGCACCTCTCAGCCCTGGGCTACAGCAAGGGCCCCAAGTCCTTCTCCTGTCACAAGCGCCGTGTCTGCCGCTGGGGGACCTAGGGACGCCACCAAGGCCAAGACAACAGCCACAAAAGGAACGACCAAGAAAACGTGCGAGGACAATAAGCCTCTCATACTGATTTGCTTCATTGTAATCGCAGTACTCGTGCTTATCTGCACCTTCTTACTTCTGTCAACAGTTGTACTGGCAAACAAATTGTCCTATCTCAAAAAAGCCAAGCAAGGCAAACGCACGCCCAGGAGCAACAGTGATTTTCTGGCTGCCAACAGCTTCTGGCCGACCGCGGCGGGAACCTGGCACCGGCTGCCCCGGGAGCGAGGCCTGCTCATGCAGGAGCTGGTGCCCGAGCGGGAAGCGGCACTGCGGAGCAGGGCCGAGGACGCGGCTGCCCGGCCCAGCAAAGAAACCAGCGCACCTGAAGGAGTTCTAGCCAATTTTGTAGTTGAGATTTAAATCATGTTCAGGTAAAGACTCAGTTTTTACCTTTCTGCCTCATGTGCATGAGGTAAAAACTCAGCTTTCAATTAACAGCATGAACTGTAATACCTGAAAACTGAGTTCAGATCTTACATGGGCTTTTCGGTTTCACGGTAACAGGAATGTGGCAGCAACATGCAGCTCTGGAGAAGAGTAAGGGTGTTTTAAGCAGCTTTTACCAATCAGGTCAAGATTGGTCCTACCAGAAGTCACGGTTGAAGGAGCTGAACAGGATAAAACCACAGGACAGAACTTTGCTGTTCTCGAGGATCGTTAGGGGACACGGGCCCATCAGACCAGCAGGGCACCACACAGGGCACCCGGCCTGGGGCGCGAGCGGAGCACCATGCAGCAGCCGGTTCGTCCTCACTGAACCTGCATCCAGCGCCTCCCCAAATGCCCTTTCAGTCTCACTTCTCTCTCTCTCTCCATTTGAAGCTTCTTACACCAGCTTAATTGCTTCTGAAACAGACTGAGAGCAGGCAGATGTACGGTGCCGGAGTCCAGGCATGAATATGCAATGTCTATGTGATATGTTAAAATACAAGAACTCTTTCAATTTGTTATTGCTAATAAACTAACAGGACAAGCTTTTTAATAATTAAAGTTCATGTGAAATTATTTCTCTAATTCATAATACCTCCCCCTCCAAATTATTATACAAGTGGCTGTATGAATTTGAAAGAATAATTATATCCTCTATTTATTTCCCATTAACATGCCCATCCAGGTAAACTTATGGATGAAGTACAGAAACAACGGAGAAGCAAGGAGAAGACAGTAACACTGAAAACGAGAGGGTGAGACCTCAAAGTAATAACAAAAACAACAAAAACATGCAACAGCCCAGGTCAAAGGTAGCTGGCTGAGTACGGAAGGTAAAAGTGGAAGAGGGCAGCAAGCCCAGGCCTGCACTGGGAATCATCAGAAAGCAAGTTCATTGCAGATGAAAAATAAAACACAGACTAAGAGGGATTGGGGATGAAACTGCAGGAAGAAGCCCAAGAATCGACTGCACAGCCGTACTTGGGACTGCGGGATGGAAGGGACACAGGGCAGCAGAACAGGCTAACGGGGCAGGGCTACATCAGGTATTTCTGAAGCATGAGCGGAAACAACAGGAGAGTAATAGGAGGAAAGCGGACAGAACAGTGATGCAACGCAGCGTTTGGAGACCATCCGAGAACATCTGGCCTGTTCTGCAAGAACGGGAGCTGCGGCTGGGGGATGTTGCATCAGTTCCCTCCACCTTCCCCCACAAATGGCCACGCGCACAGCGGGAACAGCAGAGGCAGCGCCAGAACCGAACAGATAATCCGAGGTGGCACCGGAGGGAGTCTGCCCTGGAGGAGGGCTGCCCTAGCCAGGAGCACAACGGACCGCAGAGGAGAAGGGCTCTGCGGGGAGAAGGGGCCAGTCTGGGCAGGGGAACACACGTGGTCAGCGAGCAGCAAGCGCAAGTGGTAAAACATCAGTGTCATGAAAAAAGGCAGGAAGGGAAAGAATCATCATCACAGCAGTGCAAGAGGAAGAAATACCAGAGAAAGGAAACAGCGATAAAGGTACGAAAGGGACAAAATACATGTAGAGGTTGAAAGATTGAAAAGAACATGAACAAGATGAAGATCTCAAACTAGAAGCTACAAGTTTTCATGTGAGTATGGAATCAGGATCTGTTTTTGCTGCGGGAGTGGGCCAAGTTCTCTAAACTTCAGATTAGTTCTCTGAAAAAGAAGTAATGAAACCAGAAACACGTTGACAGCTGCCAGGCACCAGCAGGACACGCTGGTGAGGACACCTTTGTGGAGGTTTCCTTTGCCAGGCAGCGTGCCCAGACAAATGCTTATGGAGACAGACCAAAGCAGCTTGGCTACATGATCAAAGGGTCCAGACAGAGACAGGAGGTGGGAAAAGAGCTGCTCAGAACGCCCAGGTATTGAATAACAGCTGCAGCAGCCACCGGAGTTGCCCAAAGGGACAGTAACACGAGGCGCAGGGGACAGGCAGAGGTGCGCGGTGCGGCGCTCTGCCTCTCAGCAAGGCAGCATCCTGCCATCAGGACGCTCTGTGACTCACGGGAGCGAAGGCGACGCTGCCTTCCCACTAACAACCCTAACAGATCCTCAAAACCATCAGGGAAATTAAATCAGAAAGATTAAAATCCAATCCCAACCCACATAATTTGATTTACATAGAAGTAACTATAACTATTTTCAACAGAAACAGGCAAACAGGCATTTAGGAATTTCTACTTGCTTGGCGTATGCTGGACAAAAACCACAAACATTTAAACATTCAAGTTTTATACAAACGACAGCACTGAGAAGTTTGTTCTTAAAGTATGCCATCTCTGAGCTGAAATTCTTAGTCATCTCTCTAATCTTGACACTTCCTGCAGCAAGCTTTGGTAAACTTCCTCTTTAGTTGCAAAAAGCCTATTTCAACGCCTAAAAAGCCATTTTAAAGCTGCTAGACTTTTAGTACCGGTCTGTCTTCCTTAAGCTTCAAACGAAAAAGGTAATACACTGGTTGCTTTTCAGAAGATAAATGCAGGTAAGAAGCAATTTTGAGATGCAAAGCTTTAGCATTTGTATTAGTATTTGCTTTGACATGAAACTGCACTCTAAGAGTTGCATGCAACGTTTTATACTCAACTACTTGCCCTGCGGCGCGTTCAAAGCTCGAGCAGAGCATTTGCACCTACCACGTATTAGGATACCGAGCACATGTCACTGCTGAGACGTTGCCATTACGAGCCACCACAAACGCCACACGTGAGTATTATCTGAATGTATGTTGAAAGGAGGGGAGCAGAAGAAAATGAAATGGAAATATTTCTACCGGAATCTAATAGTTTTGATCATAATGTTCTCATAAGCTTTGTTACGTATATACATTTACATTGTTACAGCTGAACATAACCAGTGTTATAAGAATGAATGATTTAGCTCAAGCTGTATGAAGCTAGCCCTACTTAGTGGATATATTTTACAAGACCTTTCTCATGCTGTGATGTGCAGAGACCTTGGGGGAAAAACACTCTTCTGTTGCTGAAAGTTAACATGAACAAAATCTCCTTCATTACAAAAAATATCCTAAGTGCAAGAATTTGGTTATAAAAAATTTAATATCAGAATGCAGTTACATTACAGCAGTTGGAACCTCTGAAAAAATATTATGCTCTAAACCTTAGCTGCGAAAGAGGTCAGGACGGGAAATGTTTCAAAGAAGTGTCAAGAGCTTCTCGCATAATGCTGCGTGGATCCGACACAGCCCCGCGCACACGGGAGGACGATCCCCTGTACTCTGGTCACAATCCTCCTTGGCGACACTGTTGCGACAGCGTTTCACTTTTCAAATGCATAACCCTTTATGTGACTGATAAGAGTAGTTTTGTTTTTACTTTTACTACTATAATATTACTGTGAAATTGTTGGGGAGGGTGTCAATAAAATGCAATTATGCAAAAACACAATTTACAAAGCCCTAATATTCTTTCTTTTTTTCCTGTTTTATTGCTGCTGTGGTAGAGGACATTTAAATAGGCTATGAGAAAATGGCCAGCAACCAAGTGACACTGGTTCTCCTCTGCGGAGGGATCTGGAGGTCACTTTCTACAGAGGCGCCGCTGAACTCTTCCATGCACGAAACAAGAGCATCTGCCCCTACGAGGAGCCCAAGCAAGGACAAAGTCCCCTTCTATCAGCCCCAAACAACGACGCCCAGCTTGCACACCCCCGAGATCTTCGACATCCCCACTGAGGCCCCCGATGGAACCTGGCTAGCAGCGCTCTTAATCGGCACAATTTTGACTGCTATGGTAGTGGTTATTTTTCTCATTCTTCTATGGAAATGCTGCAAAAAGCCTCGTCCCGTGGACACGAATTGGGCAGGGCGCTCGCCCTTCGCGGACGGAGACATGCCGGAGGCGTTTGCAGAGCTCGAGCAGGGTAACAAGCGCACGTCCATTCTGTCCATGCTGCCCTGGAAACTGAGGCAGGACGCGAGCGCCGCGGGCGCTCCGGGCAGCCCCGAGGGCCGCGGGCCTCGCGCAGGGCCGCC